CATTTTAGGCCAATTACATTATTCCAATCGACCAAAGTCTTAGCTATTTCACTAGTATTACTTCTATTCTATTGATTGAGCACAAGAAATTGCCAAGTCAACTGTTTCAATTACAAAATAAAGTGATCGGAAATTGGTAATTTAGCCAATTTAATGCAAAATTCAAAATACTCCAATTTCAAAATAGGGTCCAGAATAAACAACGTAGGCATTCTTGGCACTAAACTAACATTTCCTCTATTCATTATGTTTTCAGGCTTTACAAATGAATTCCATTTTGATTTTTTATTCACATAATGAAATTTTATTCAAACCAAAAAATAGAAGATTTACTGTTATACAATAGTGTAATAATTGTACAAATAATATCACCACATTTGTGAATGTATATTAGACCCAACAGCTAGTATATATTAGACATGTGAGGTCATTTGTTTACTCTTGAACATTGGCAAAAATTTAACATTTCAGCTACTTTGAGATCAGTTTCAAGCCATTTCCAGTACTAAAACCAATCAAAATCATCTCTATTTCTGTAATATATCTTCCATTCTATCAAATGAGACCAAGAAACCGCAAATACATCTATAAAAAACAAAAAATAAAACGCTGCAAAGTCACTGTTTTCATCGAAAATTATGTAGTCTCAGTTTTTTTTATCTCATTATGCACTGTGTGCTGCAGGATTTGTTTTATGTGGTGCACACATACCACAGATGTATTCTCTCATATCTAGGCCCAAATTTACTGCTCACAGCTTATCAGAGTGAGCTGAGCTCATGGTGTAGAGCTACAGTTTGGACCCTCAACGTAAAGCCGTAGATCTACGGCACGGACCCTGAAAGGGTTAATAAGTGGATTCAGCAAAAAACAAAAGTACACCCTTAATTACTTTATGATCCATGAGGAAATCCTATCATACTATAAAACAGTGTGTGAGTTAGATGAAAAGTCTACAAGTGTGTTCATTTAGTTCTGGATGGTTTAATCAGACTCCATTCTTGTACTGCCACGTTTCAATGATCAAACATTTAACCTTCTGTTCTGACTGTACAGAACTCACATTTAAGCTTGAATTATGAATATTTTTTAGCTTGAAGTGTGATCTCATTTGCTTTTGAGTTGAACTCTGCACTATGTTCACTGTATGAACATGTGGAGAGTTCATGTTGTGTTTTGGTTAAGCACTGCAGATTAAATAATAGCATTCTGTGGTAGCCACCACCACTTGCAATCATTGGTAAGCATCATTTTTCCAACCATAAATCAGTATCACAAGTTTAAACATTGTATTCTGCCACACTGAAGGTCTGAGCATAACATGGGTTACACTAGAAAGACAGAAGAATAGATGACTTCAGTTCTACTGTTTACTGTACAAGTTGTAGACTACACAAGGGAGTAAGCAGTCACACCCATCTTCACATCAGAGCTCCAGGGTTCTGAGTATGACCTAGCCCCAAGGCACCCTTACAGCCCACTAGCAATGAGTCCTACATCATGTCTTTGCTATAAGATCGATTACTGCATACACACTCTTAACAGTTTAATAGTATACATACCAATACAAGGGGTACCAATACGCAACTACTGACATATCAATGATTTTAACATTAGTATATAAGTACTATAGGGGGAGGACAATACCAAAATTTTTGCCAATACCAACATTCAATTATTTCAGGCCAATACCAATACTGTAACATTAAAATTATTCAATACCCAGCAATATTAATATCAAAATTAGCTAATACCCACCATCACCACCCGACTGATATCACTAAACACCACTGATATTAGTTGATACTTTGGCACACTCCTAATGAGGCAGTTACCAAACCCTGGATATGTTGTCAAATAAAATCTGGTGTTTAACTGGTCTCACTTTTTTTTTTTTTCAGCTGAAAGAAAATGACAACTCGTCTATTTTCAAGTGCTCAATACAGTACGGTGAATTTTTGGCTCACCCTACACTATGTTCAGCTTAAACAATGAAACACAATTACAGTAGAAAAGAGGAAAAATAAAACCTCATCAGACAAAATAAATGTATATGATGTAGAAGGCCTACATTTTAACCAAACAGTCAGGGTCATCCAAATACAGGAAGGCCCCGCTTTACGGCGTTTCACTTTACAGCGTTCCGCTAATACGGTCATTTCAAATTATGACCAAAACTCGCTATACGGCTCCCCCCACCTGACTTTCTAATATGGTCACCGCGCCCCACCTTGTTTGTTCACATTCTTCGTGAGCTCAGTAAGCACTAAGTGTCTCCATTTTGTCTGGAAACTCCAAAATTTCAAATGTTTTTAAAAGTTATTTCATATTTTATATATACTCTGATAATTATACTTATGTATACCTGTACTTAAATAAACTTACATACTGTGCTGGCATGCAGGTACACATTAAAATCAGTAAGAGTGTCTTATGTCTCCAGACGTCATATTAGTAATGATAATAATAATCATCGAGTCTCATTTAAATGTCGTATATTACGTTAAATACACTTTTTTTTTTTTTCAACAAGTCGGTCGTCTCCCACCGAGGCAGGGTGACCCAAAAAAGAAAGAACATCCCCAAAAAGAAAATACTTTCATCATCATTCAACACTTTCACCACACTCACACATTATCACTGCTTTTGCAGAGGTGCCCAGAATACAACAGTTTAGAAGCATATACGTATAAAGATACACAACATATCCCTCCAAACTGCCAATATCATATATATAATATTGGCAGTTAAATACACATTTTCATTAATCCATCTATGATATTTTTTCAAAATTATATAATAAACACGATACATAACATAAAAAGATGATAAATACACCCTACAATAGAATAAATAAACAAATATGAGATGTGGTAGCCAGATAACTTGTACAAGTGATGCCAAGAATAACATTTTCTCTAATCTAACATAAAAGAAAATGTGTTACTGGGGGTAATTGTAGAAAATTATTCCTTTCGTATGTATGTAAGTTTATTCAGGTATACACAAATACAGTTACATAGATTATCATACATAACATATGTGTAGAGAACGTAGGATAACCCAAAAAAGTCAGAGTGACTTATTTCCATTGCCTTCACTCAGAGCATCATTTCTTCTCAAAATGATGTTAGATGAGAATGGGAGTGTTCTTCTTTATTTATTCTACCGTATCAATGTAGAGACAACCTGTACACAATGTAACTTGTACACAAACCAGACGTGTACACTTCGTTTACAAAACTTACGTTCGTCTGGTTTGTTTACATAACTCTGCGCCTGTCCTCTCCTCTCTCATGCACTCATTCTTTCTCTCTCTCATTTATTCGTTTTATCTCATTTACTTACTCCTGACCCTACATTAACCCTTTCAGGGTCCGTCCCGTAGATCTACGGCTTTACGTTCAGGGTCCAAACCGTAGATCTACGCCATGAGCTCAGCTCACTCTGATAAACTGTGAGTGGTACATTTGGGCCTAGATATGAGAGAATACATCTATGTGGTATGTGTGCACCACATAAAACAGATCCTGCAGCACACTGTGTATAATGAGAGAAAAAAAATGAAATCATAATTTTTCGATTAAAACAGCAACTTTGCAGTGTTTTTTCGTATGTTTTTTATAGTTGTATTTGCGATTTCTTGGTCTCATTTGATAGAATGGAAGACATATTACAGAAATAGAGATGATTTTGATTGGTTTTAGCACTGGAAATGGCTTGAAACAGAGCTCAAAGTAGCAGAAATGTTAAATTTTTGCCGATATTCAAGAGTAAACAAACGACCTCATACGTCTAATACACGTCAGCAGGTGGGTCTAATATACATTCACAAATATGGTGATGATATTTATACAATTATTACAGTATTGCATAACAGTAAATCTTCTATTTTTTGGTGTGAATAAAAATTCATTATGTGAATAAAAAATCAAATGGAATTTCTTTGTAAAGCCTCAAAACATAACTAATGAACAGAAGATATGTTAGTTTAGTGCCAGGAATGCCTACATTGTTCATTCTGGACCCTATTTTGAAATTGGAATATTTTGAACTTTGTGTTAAATTGGCCAAATTAACAATTTCCGATCACTTTATTTTGTAGTTGAAACAGTTGACTTGGCGATTTCTTGTGCTCAATCGATAGAATAGAAGTAATACTAGTGAAATAGCTAAGAATTTGGTTGATTGGAATAATGTAATTGGCCTAAAATGGGAGTCAAAGTCGGCAAAATCGCCGATTCGTAAATATCGCTGACACATCAAAATTCGCAAGAGCATAATTTCGTCAATTTTCCACCAAATTTCGTACTTTTTATTTTATTACCTTCACAAAAAGATTCTCTACGATTTCATAAGAAAAAATAACAAATTTTTTTTTTGAAAATTCTTGGACACTGGTGCGTGACTCCAGATTTGGGCCTTGGACCCTGAAAGGGTTAAGACTACAAATATTTTAAGGTACGTAATGAGTGAACTGTATATACATTTTATCGCTCTGGGATGCTTAAATGTAATAGAATATTATGTGTAGGTGGGTTGGCCTGGTATGGTAGCCCGGCTGACTACCATACATACCACACTTGATTTCTTACAATAAATACTACTTGTCTCACCCTAGATTAAGACTAAATATTTTAAGGTAAGTAATGAGTGCACTATGTGTGTATTGTACTTGTTTGTTGTTTTTTGATGCCCGGTTCTATTGCTAACTTAATATATGTTAGTGTAAACTTGTTATCTAGTGTTTGTATGCATTTGTAAGTGGAAAAAAAAGGGTGTTCCACTTTACGGCGGTAGCCTGGAACCTAACCAGCCGTATAAGTGGGGCCTTCCTGTATAGTTACAATACAGTACAGAACTTGTTCACTTGATTTATTGCTTCAGCATGCATGTTGCAGCAGCTTGTTCTCAATAAATCATTTTGTAATAGCACACAAACAAAACCCACATAACAAATGTAACTTTTCCACACAAACAAATTATAAAGAAGTTGATACCTCCAACCAGGCACGAAGACCATCAACATTCCAAGAGACAATCTTCAGATTCCATTTCTTGCCATCTTTTGTTTCGGCATCAGATGAAAAATCTTCCGTCCTCACTTTCTTGGTATCTTTTTCTTTGCCATTCTCAGAACTCTC